ATATATATATATATATATACACACACACACACACAAAACAAGGTTCTATTTAGACCCTTTTACAAAAAAATGAGTTACGATTGACTTCGCCGGGTTTTCATATTTTGAAAGCGTTGCATGATTTTATTATTATCAATGCAATCTAAAATGTCATTCTCTATGTATATAATCAAGTTATTTGTTATTCATTGATTACTCATTCGATTATGCAATCAATTCTTCACAATCTTCATAGCTGGAAATGTTCTCACTACTGTGGCAGTCGCAACTGACAAGATTAATGTCAATGTCACAAGTAGACTGACGGATATAAAACATTCATTTTTTGTCTCAACCATTTTTTGGGCAAGATTCCCAATCCCTAGCAGATTTGAAAACTCAATACTTGAGCACATATCAATAATATAACTATCCAACTGATCAAAAAGTATCGTGAGCTCTAATGAAGAAAATTCTTTTGGATAAAATTGGGCAAGATGAACCAATTTCTCCTTGTCAAAAGCTGAGAAGGAAACAGAAGGACTCAAACATGCCACACAAAGAAGTCAATTAGTGTTTGACTCTATAAAACAGCTATTTAGCACTTGAAGTTGCATATCTACAACGGTATAAAATAACTCAACTTGATAGTGGTGCAAATTTTTCTGTTCTTGAATATGTCAAATTTTTCAGACGAAGAGCATAAAATTGCTTGGAATGTTCCAGTGTTATCTCATTTTGATCACAGGGACAAATCAATGTGAGTTAGAAGTTCAAAGGATCACTCATTGACAAGGTATTACAAATAACTTATCCGATGCATTCACTGACACAAATAAACTAATAGTCACAAGTACCATCTTCAAATGCACCAACAAGAATTGATGTCCCTATAGGACAATTCTAGTAGAACACTATAAATGAATCTAAGACACAATTGAAGCATGGTAGACATGTTAGTGCAAAAAATATGGTCCCTAGAATAAGGAGGAAATGATAGAGATTAAATAAAAAAGTTAATACTCTATAAGAGAATAACAAACTCGAAGTTTGTGCTCCTAAAGAGAGTCATCTCACAAATAATTACCTCTTGTAAATGCTTAATTAATTCTTGAAGAGTTCCAAATACCTCTGAAAAATGCTCATTTACTTGAGAATGATGAGATCTCTACAAACTAAGTGTACAATGAAAAAAATATGATATTAAAATAAAATTATTGTGGATGATATATTTTCATTTGTTGTTCTTGATATTTCAAGAGATAGTGAGGAGCCTAAACCAAAAACTATCGATGAATGCCAGCAGAGAAATGGTTGGCCAAAATAGAAAGAAGAAATTCAGACAGAGTTAAATTCACTTACAAAACGAAATGTATTTGGACCTATAGTCCAAACACCACAAGGTGTTGAATCCATTGGATATAAATGGGTGGTCATGAGAAAACAAAATGAGAAATATAAATTTGTGCGGTATAAGGCATGACTTATGGTACAAGGTTTCTCATAGAGACCTATTATTAATTATAAGAAGAGGTATTCTCTCATAATGGATGCTATCACTTTCAGATTTTTGATAGGTCCTGTAGTCATTGAAACGCTAAATATGCGCTTAATAAACATCATTACTACGTATTTGTTTGATTTATTGGACAATATGATATATATGAGAATCCTTGAAGGGTTGAAAATGTTAGAAACATATAATTCACAACCTCGAATGCTGTATTTCATTAAACTTCAATAATCGTTGTATTAATTAAAACAATCAAGGCGGATGTAGTATAATCACCTTAGTGAGTATCTCTTGAAAGAGGGATATATCAATGATTTGACATATTCATGTTTTTTTTTTTATCAAAAGATCTAATAGTGGATTTGCTATTATTGATGTAGTTATTGGATGATTTAAATTTGTAGGTACTCCAAAAGGGCTCACAAAAGTTGTCAGCTATTTAAAAAAGATCTTAGAAAAAATAAAGTTTTGCATTGACCTATAGACAGAAAATTTATCTAATAAGTTTTTGTGCATCAATCAATATACACAGAAAAGGTCCTGAAACAACCTATGGATAAATCACATCCATTGAGTTCACCAATGGTCGTTCGATCACTAAATATAAAGAATGATCCATTTCTTCCTCAAGAAGAATGTGAAAAATTTCTTGGTTCTAAAGCACCATATCTCAGTGTAATTGGTGCACTAATGTATCTTGTAAATTGTATAAGGCCAAACATATCATTGACAATTAATTTACTAGCAAGGTATAACTCAACACTAACTCGAATGCATTGAAATGTGATCAATCATGTATTTTAGTATTTCTATGAAACGGTGGACATAGGATTATTCTATATGAATGATCAAAGTCTGCATTTAATTGTATATAAAGATGCCGGTTATCTTTCTGATTCACACTATGTTCGATCACAAAAATGAATGTGTTTACTTATAGTAGTATGACTATATCATATAAATTGGTTAAATAATCAATGGTTGCTATATTGTCCAATCACTCCGAAATATTAGACATCTATGAAACAAGTCGAGAAAGTATTTGGCTAAGATCCATGATCCAACTTATTCAAGAGCAAGTGAACTATCTTCAATCAAAGTCATTCCAATAATATTATATGAGGACAATACAACTTGTATCACACAACTTAAGGAATGATATATTAAAAGAGACAGAACAAAACATCTTTCACCAAAATTCTTTTACACCCATGAGATAGAAAAGAATGGTGATGTTAATGTTCAACAAATTCGTTCAACTGAAAATCTGGCAGATATGTTCTCTAAATCACTCTCACTTACTACATTTTAGAAATTAATGCACTAAATCAGAATGTGGAGTTTCAAAAATCTATCAAGCTGAACAACCACCATTTTTAACTTTATGTATTCAACAAAGGGAGACATGTACTCCTTTTTCCTATAGAGTTTTACTTAGCAAGATTTTTAATGAGACAGGGCTTAAAACAAAATTTTATTTTTCAATTTGCACACTATACTATTTTTTCTTCGTCCAACTTTATCCCACTGAATTTTATTGACTAGGTTTTCATGAGAAAACATTCATGCATCTAACATTATCTTAAGTGGTCATCTAACGAGGAGTGTTGAAAACAACAGCACATGATGGATGAACAACCACATAAGCATCTCCTTGTCTCCCTTAATAGTGTTGTCTCTTACCGACAATTTTGAAGCATTGTATGATTTACCTATAAAAGGGCATCATCATCTAAATAAAAAATACACCGAATACAAAAACTCTCTCTCTCTCTCTCTCTCTTTATTTATCAATATTCTCTCTATCTCTATGTTTTTTTGAATTAGTGGTTTGAACCTAAATAATTTGTTAGTTTTATAACTTCTTATAAATGATAATCTTGAAAATCAATTTAATTTTTTTGTTGTCATCATGTTTTTCTGTTGGTTTTCTTAAGGATTGTTCCTGGTGGTGGTCTTACTGTCATTTATGAAAAATCAGGGATATCTATGTCATATTTACAAACCTCGGGGGTCTTGTGTGATTTTAACCCTAGATACAATAGTACCCCAACTAGTCCAGGTAGAAGCAATGGTTTTTGGAAAAAGGCATGCACATATACACACACATTAGTCCACACTCCAAAGCCACCCAGAACACAGACCAGCAATGGTTGGAACGCTTCATTATAAGTAAAAGATGATTTTTTTTTTCACTCACTAGAGATCTTTTTCCACAACGCTGATATGGATTTAGATAGTCTTATTATATACGGAAAAAGTCACTTCTTTTTTAAAACAAAAACAACCATGATTTATTTTCTTTCTACAATTCTCTTGTATGTGAATTAGAATCCAACTTTGGTCTTTCTCACAGCGTCTAACAAAACAGCCTTGTTTGAAATGCTGTTCAAATGACTATTGGTGTGTCCCAAATTTCTATTTAAATGGCAGAAACAGTGCAATTTTTCTTCCCGACTGGTCAAATTCCTTCAAAGCTTCTAGAAATGGACACCTGCGTCAAATTTTGTACTCAATTTCTAAGTCTCAATGCGATTTCAAAACTTCCAACTGTCACGATGTCAGGATGTTTCAAGACAATTTGGTGCCTAAAACGATATTTTTAAATGACGGCTTATATGTTTAGTGTTAATATTTTTTTGTTCTAAACCATATCCCTTATGTTACAATAAAAACTCGAGTTGATGACGAAAGATGGAGTAGAGGCCGAGTCACTGTCACCGAGTCAATCACCTAAGTGATCTGTGACTACGAGTTCTCCGTTGTAACACTTGACAAAAAAAAAATGATCTGAGTAACGAGTTCTTTTAGTTCTCAAGTCTTGAGAGCATTGTGTGTGTGAGAGAGAGAGAGAGGGATAAGAAGAAGAGTTTATTTTTTGTTTCAGTTTAATGAGAGAGAGAGAAAGAAAAAAAAATATTTTTGTATAATTGATTTGGTTGGTTTACCGAGAGAGAGAGAGAGAGAGAGAAAGAGTGCTAAAAATAATATATGATTTGATTTTTAGATTATTTTGGTGGTTTTGATATGACCTTTTAATTTTTAATTTTTTTTATATTGTTAATTTTTTTTAGATATTTAATGTTTGGATTGAATTATGGGCTTAAAATGGTTGATTGGACTTATATTTTTATAAGATTTTTTTTTACATGGGTTATTTACGATGTTTAAAAATTTGGGACCTTCCTTTGAAATGGGGTCTAAAGCTCGGGCTTTTTTACACCTGCTGTTGGGCTGGCCTTGCACGATGTCAATAAGAACATCCAACTCTTATCGTAGTCGAACTAGTAACAGAGATGAATTATAAATTCAAATGTTTTGATTTCAAAATTTGATAAATCTCTTAGGTTTAGATAATGAGGAATTTATCCTTATGAATTCCCCAGTCTCCCTGTGGGTGACCCGCCTTTGATCAAACAGAAAACGAGTTTAATCGATGTACACGTAAACTAACCCAAACACGCGTGGATACTGAATGAAAAAAATAAGAAATAAATCCGTTTACGAAAGTTAACATTTTAGACAAGTGTCCTGATCTCAATAAGCAAGACAAGAAGAAACTCTGTTTTGGAATTCAACAGAGCATAAATATTCCATCACAAGAGTATGCTGAGATTTTCATTGACTGGAAGGAAATTCTTCTTTGTGAATTCCTTTGAAAAATAATAACCCATGAATTAGTCTACTAATTAATTTTCCAACCTATTCACAATTCTTCGGCCAAACATCCAGGACCCAAGAATTAGGTTAGGTTGAATATGATGATCCTTGGTCTGCCATGACAAAAACACTTGCTGGAACTGCAACATTCGCCTCGATGAAGACACGGTTATCAGACATATTCCTCAAAGCATGGTTAGGGAAGGATCTGTCGCTTGTGATTAATGTGTATAGTACATGTTTTATAAGGTCAGGAAATAGTAGAATTGGATTGAGGTCTATGGTCCATGAGCTACCATTCCCCTGAACACTTCCTCTTGCAACAGTGGCCTTCACATTCATGCCTTTCACATTATTCCTGTCGATAACAACTTGATCAACCATTTTGAAAGGTCCATTCCTTTGATCCAATTGAACAATTTCAACCCCTTTATCCGAGCCTGAAAACATGTTATCGACAATATTTACTCCATTCACAACACCATTTATCGATTTCAAAAGAATATATGCATCTCCGAGGAACAAACTACTCGAAATGTGAAGTTCCACAGGATCTTCAGCCACGATTCCGGTATAGTCTAAGTAAGAGTTCACAATCCTGGTTTGTGTCAAACCAGGCAATTTCAAATAAATCCCCGTACCACCAAAACCAGCAGCCTTATTGTAGCAATGTACCCCGGAAAGAGTGTTAGCTTGACCCGAAATCATTATCCCAATGGCTGCAGAAAAAATAACCACATCCGTGATAGCATTGTCGTTGCCCATTAGGTTTATTGCGGTGCCTGAGAATTTCCTTTCACCAGGATCCCTACCTGCAGTGATGTGTTGGCCCAAGAAAGAGTTCCGAATGTAGGTTTCATGACCACCTTGGACTAAGATGCCAGTAGTGGTGAAATGGGCAATGTAACAATTATCAATACTTGTTCTGAGTGAGTTCATCACTTGTATGCCTCCACCCCTGTAATTGGAGTCCAGCATGAGGTCTCTTAGAGTTACATACTCGTAGTTATATTCGGAGCCACTAGTTGCTGATAAATCAATCAGGTATCCATCGGTTGGAAAATTGTTTGAAGCTTTTAAGGTTCCTCCATGAATCTGTTTCACCAAATAATTGAATCCAGACAATACACAAGTCAAAGAAAATCATACAAACAAGGATAAAAAATGTATCGCGTCAAATTTCCCGTATATAAATTCAGTGGAACATTTAAAAATGGACTAATTCTCAACATTTTGAACCACAAGAACATCTCAGATTGAAGATCAAAAGAATTGGTATTATACCATGAGGTTACCTCGGCCGGCCACCGGAAACCGTAGGGGACGGGTAATCATGTAATTTCCACCTTCAAGATCGACGTGTGCACCACCAAGATTAACTATCCCTTCCATCAGCCAGCCATCACTAGGACCTTCAAGTGCATCCGTTATTGCGTCGAAAAGTGCCTCTGTACTGTCTGTTTGCCCAGTTGGGTCTGCACCGTACGATGTCACGTGATATACACGTGGGCTTTGTGTAACCTGTTTCATAAATTGAGAGAGAGAAAATGAAAGAGGGGGGGGGGGGGGGGGG